TGCCAGCGCACCGAGCGAGACGGCGCGCTGGCATTGTGAACGCCTCTTACGTAACAAATGTCACCTTATATTCTTGGTTCTCTCGGTAAAGTCACGTAGGAGGGAAATAATAAAATAAGACAAATATAAAACAATACAATTTCTCACGACGTTTCGACTGCAACATAAGCAATCGTCATCAGGTGTTAAATCCACAGCAAGAAAATGTGAGAATTTTTATTGTTTTATATTTGTATTATTTTACTATTTCCCATTCTACGTGACTTTACAGAAAGAACCAAGAATATGAATCCCTGCAGTCACGAAAGCTTTAAATCAAAATTTAAATGTCACCTTGTGATTTATTGCACAATGGCCAGTGCGATGGCCTGAACCCCAGGCTGCTGTTGGGGGGTCGTGGGGGGGTCACGGTTCAATTGTTGAGGGTTGGTTGCACTGCATCGACATTAGAGAGGAGGCATTTGGTTAATAAGGCAGAGAGGAGCTTTGGTTGGAGCGGTGCTCTCGTGGACTTCCACGTGGGGGGACGGTGAACGAGCTGAGCCCATCAGCTCGCTGCACTGGAGAACCCAGTTTTAACCAACAACAGTGGCTGCCGGCATTCAAAGCCAGGATCTTCAGCTATATTCTTATGTTTTTTCGGTAAAGTCACGTAGGTAAAAAATTACAATTAATAAAAGTAAAATAAAAATAAAATAAAAATCACGACGTTTCAGAGGCAACACAAGCCTACGTATTCAGGTGGAACCGTCACAGCACACTTGCTGTATCAAGTGTGTTGCCTCCGAAACGTCGTGATTTTTATTTTATTTTACTTTTATTAATTTTTATTTTTTACCCACGTGACTTTTACCGAAAAAACCTAAGAATATGAATCCTTGCAGTCACGAAAGCTTCAAATCTAGAATCTTCAGCTATGCCCGCTCAGGGTTCTCGACGTCGGAGTCTGACCCAGCCAAGCTTGATCAGTGTCACGTTTGAAAACGTGGGGATACGTTTAAAATGTGGATACTCCGCCGCCGTGCAAGAAGTGACGGTTAATGTCAAAGGAAGAGTTCACCCTTATTAAAATAAGGGACGCTGATGCATGCGTAGTCAAGTTACAAACCACTTGTGTGTGGATAAAACAAATGATTTGGCGACACTGCATTAGCATTGGTGCATAAATAATGATAAACTCAACTCACTTGTTAACAACACTGTAGTCTTAAAAGGAAACATATTATTGCCTTTTCTATGATCAGATTTTTTTAATACTTGGGTCCTCAGTGTTACTGACGAACGTGTTGAGCTTTTTGTCAATAACAATTTGCTGTTTGGGCAAACTGAACTCTGCCATGGGAATGTGGAATTTCCACCACTGACTGAGCACTATGAAAGGAGATAAGCACTACTTTAAGCACATTTTTTGAGCATGGAGACACATTGAGACTGTAAAAGAGTACGGTACATATACACATTAATAATCACTTCATTAAGTGATTATTATTGTGTATTAATATATGCATTACAGGTTTCCCTCGCTTTATGCGGGTTTTGTTTGTGCAATTTCGCGTCCAATATGGCTAATCTATTTCTACCCAAAATTCGCAATACTGTCTGCGCTTATTATTTCACTCATGCAGTGGGACAACATTGTGTGGGTAGGGTACTATTTGTGCTGCTCGGCAGGCAGCCGTCTCACGCGGTTTCGCTTAGTGCGCCTCATTACACGCTTTCATTTAACTAACTTCGTCTGTTGTATCCTTAAACAAGTAAACCCGTAAAAACAAAGTTTTTCACTATAAATCCTTTATATGCGTGGCGGCTAGAGTCCTCTCATCCTCTGGCTTGAGATGGCTGCCACCTATGGGTCAGATGATTGTCTGCCACCATTAAGCAATTGGTAATTAAATATTTAAATTGTTTTCCCTAAACAGTGTAAAATTTTGGATTTTTTTCACGAAAATTAATTGTCACACACAACGAGTCTGTGTGGAAAATGTCAGCTCGATTGGATCACGGGAAGTGGGTTAAAAAACGACCGAAAGATTTGCACGGTCCTAAGCAAGCAAGCGAACTTAATAAAAATTAACCCGTAAAAACAAAGTGTTTCACTATAAATCCTTTATATGCGTGGCATCGGTTTTATTTTATTATTCATTTCTTTCTTGAGTAAGAGTTTCATTTTTATCACATTGGTATTTTAAATTAAATATGACATTTATTTTTTCCTAAAAAGTGTAACATTTTGGAAAAAAAATTTCACGAAAATAAATTGTCACGCACAACGAGTCTGTGTGCAAAATGTCAGCTCGGTTGGATGACGGGAAGTGGGTTAAAAAAAGACCGAAAGATTTGCACGGTCGTAAGCGCGCAAGCAAGCAAGCAAGTGAACTTAATACAAAGGATTTAATAAAGGATTTAAAAATTTATTCGCCTGTGGAGGACGCGGGGATCGATCCCGCGACCTTTGGCATGGGAAGCGAGGGCGCTACCAACTGCGCTACTCCGCCACGGCCTGTGGAGGGGTTACGCTCTGGGCTCTTACACTCTGACGTTCAGCCAAAGCCATGAATGAGTTCTATTTGAATATATGTAAAATAAAAATGTTTTGCCTAAAAAGTGTCAAATTTTGGGATTTTTTTGTCACGAATAATAATTGTCTGGCACAACGAGTCTGTGTGGAAAATGTCAGCTCGATTGGATCACGGGAAGTGGGTTAAAAAACGACCGAAAGATTTGCACGGTCCTAAGCAAGCAAGCAAGCACGCAAGCAAGCAAGCAAGCACGCAAGCAAGCGAACTTAATATAAAGGATTTACAAGTAAACCCGTAAAAACAAAGTTTTTAACTCTAAATCCTTTATATGCGTGGCGGCTAGAGTCCTTTCGTCCTCTGGCTTGAGATGGCTGCAATCTATGGGTCAGATGATTGTCTGCCAGTATTAAGCAATTGGTAATTAAATATTTAATTTGTTTTCCCTAAACAGTGTAACATTTTGGAAAAAAAATTTCACGAAAATTAATTGTCACACAAAACGAGTCTGTGTGGAAAATGTCAGCTCGATTGGATCACGGGAAGTGGGTTAAAAAACGAGCGAAAGATTTGCACGGTCCTAAGCAAGCAAGCGAACTTAATATAAAGGATTTAAAATATATTCGCCTGTGGAGGACGCGGGGATCGATCCCACGACCTTTGGCATGGGAAGCGAGGGCGCTACCAACTGCGCTACTCTGCCACGGCCTGTGGAGGGATTACGCTCTGGGCTCCTATACTGTGACGTTCAGCCAAAGCCATGAATGATTTCTATTTGAATAAATGTAAAAAAAAATTTGCCTAAAAAGTGTCAAATTTTTGAATTTTTTTTCACGAACATTAATTGTCTGTCACAACGAGTCTGTGTGGAAAATGTCAGCTCGATTGGATCACGGGAAGTGGGTTAAAAAACGACCGAAAGATTTGCACGGTCGTAAGCAAGCAAGCACGCAAGCAAGCAAGCGAATTTAATATAAAGGATTTAAAAAAGAAATCTTGTAACTCAATTTGTACATACTTCCCAATGTGCTATCGACTGCAAACTTGAAATAGCTATGTCATACTGATGACAACACTATATTCTATCATAAAAAAATCCAAAACATATATTTTTAAACATTTTACACGCTATTATTTAACTTTATGTGTGTTGTCATATCCAAAAATATGGTAACTCAATTTCAACCGTATTCCCAATGTCGTATCGACTGCAAACTTCGTATAGGTATGTCATACTGATGACAATACTATATTCTATCAAAAAAATTAATATTTTTTAAACAATCTTTTTAACGGCTCTAATTGTCCACGCTCAACTGACGTTGGCTGTAAATCACCATGTGGCCCCTTACGTCACGGCAAGCCTCGGGGAGCCACGCCCAGGGGCGGGGGATGTGTAAGGAGGGGAGGGGCGATGGGGGAAGGGGGCACGGGAAGGGGCAGCTCGGACAGTACATTTCATTAAAGCGTGTTTTTAAAAAAGTATATTTTTTATTGGAATGCATCTACCGCGTGAAGCGAGAGAAACCCTGTACGGTATTTTTAAAGTCAAATATAGCCTACCATTGTCAAGAGATGGGTGGTTCTCATTCCCATTGGAGCAGGTGGTGGAAAATATTCTTACGGACAGGAACCAGTTCATCCTCATGACGGGAAACCACTGTTGACTTCCTACAATGTAGTACTTATTTTATCGACCCCGGCAGAATGATGGGCTGAGTCAACCCTCCAACCAGTATTTGAAACTCACACAACCTTTTTGATTATGAGGCGAGCACCACTCAAGCAAGGTATGGCAATAATATTATTACATAAATAATTAAAACATTTAAATTACAAATTAACTCACAGCGGCCTAACGCCTACAGCTAGGCCTAAAGCCTAGAACTAGGCCTCACACTCTCCCTTCGTATCGTCCGATTCGGTGTAGCAACATCGCCCCCTACTGCAAACACTTGGCAGGACCCTACAAAAACCTTTAGACTCAGTGAGGCTTTCCTGGCTAAACAAGTGTAATAATACATTATGTTTATATTCTTTGGTTATTCGTTCCTACCAGCCCACCCCGCAGGGTCCTGTTAATATCACGAACCCAACAGGGAGCCGGCATCCCCCCCACTGTCCCTCCTACAAAGAAAACCCTCGTGCAGCGAAGAGGAGACACCAGCAAACGTAAAAAAACTCGGCGCCTGCTCCTTCTTTAGATCTCGAGGAATCCCAAGGAATCGTTCACAAAAACGCTACAAACACCGCCATGGCAACGGCAACAATTAATTACACAGCGGAGGTTTAGTGAGTAAGTCACGCTCGGCTTGTGGGGATGCCCGGGATGAATGAATGAGCCCACACCTGTACCTAAGGAGAGGGCCCACGAGCCCTTTAATTGCATTGCTGTTATTGCTCTTGGTGTGTTAAAATAACTAAACGAAATCAGAAGAATTGCAGTGCAAGCGAGCGTGTGTTTGTGTGATTGTGTTTTTGTAGGGAGCGGTGGCGCCAGTGGTTAGGGCACTGCGCGACCCGGTTTCGATTGCCACTCACGGCCAACATCGGTGACGATTATCTGAACCGGTCCTGGGCCTCTCCTGGGTCGACTCAGCCTCAAGTGAGTACCTTGGTGCGGTGTGTAAATAACGCCACTCGGCAGACAAAGGCGGCCGGGCGTGGTGCTGGCCGTCCAATCCCTCGTGTGCCGTGCCAGAGTTCATAGGTGCTCGCTAACAGCACTTGCCCCAATAGTCTCTTTAGGCTATACGGGGGATATTTGTCTTTGCGTCTTTTGTGTGTGTTTCAGCTGAGTCCAACACTGCGAGTGGACACGATGAGCCCATCCCGGGTCGTCCGGTAGTCTTCATTAGCCAGTTGGGATCGGGTTGACACGTAGGTAAAAAATAAAATTAAAATTAATAAAAGTAAAATAGAAACGTCGTGATTTTTTATTTTACTTTTATTAATTTTATTTTTTGCCTACGTGACTTTACCGAAAAAACCTAAGAGTATGAATCCTTGCAGTCACGAAAGCTTCAAATCCAGAATCGGGTTGACAGTTCGATACCCACTACAGCCACACGGTCATTTCATCAAGGGCTTCAGATAAATTTCAGATAAAGCGAACAAACATTCCAGTTTGTCAGAGGAGGCTGTGTCAGGATCCCAAAGCTTTTGTATAAAATCGATATTTTGTCCCGGTTGAAGACTTTCTGGCCTAACGATGAACTCATGGGTAGTGGGGCAAGTTTGGCGTAGAAGGCGGGGCCTATGAACAGGTGAGGCTATAAATGGTCATGTTCACCATACTTCACCATGCTGTTTAGTGCAGTTTGGTAAAGGTTGATAGGGAGGCCCAGACCGGTTCAGATATCACTCACCATGGGTATCACTCATGGTAGATATCACTCATGGTAGATATCACTCATGGTAGATATCACTCATGTAATATATCACTCATGATAGATATCACTCATGTTAGCTATCACTCATGGTAGATATCACTCATGGTAGATATCACTCATGGTAGATATCACTCGTGTTAGCCACGGCCAGAAAACAAACTCGAGTCATCGGGGTCCATAGCACGGTGTACTAACAACTGCACTACCACGCATTAAAATAACTTGGTGAAATACCGTCTCAATTTTCTTTTTTCGTACAGTTTTGTCACCGGCATAATGTGTGCGTGTATTTAAGTTGCTTTCAAGTGTACTTATCGATTCTCACACGCAAAATGTTTCGCGTACAAATGTATCGTGGGTGTACGCATCGATTTTAATTGTTGAATCGATGCCTCGTAGCATGCATAATTAATTTACAGCGATAACGGTGCCTAAATACCACTGCAGCAATTAACCGCGGTGTGTCAAAGGGCTCTCATCTGCTGTTTTTTAAAAGCAAACTTCATTCATTGGTGGCACATTGGCCCAGGATTCGAAACCAGGAAATCTCAAGAGGAGCTGGCGGAAAATACAATGGAAGAAAGTAAGGGGCCATCCATAAATGACGTCACGCGATTTTGGACGATTTTTGACCCCCCCCCCAGGTGCGTGACGTCATTTATGGACGGCCCTAAGCGGGCTTGGGCAAGACATGTCTCTTAAAACCGTTACGCCGTGGCAACATCCCTTATTAAGATATTTTTTTTACAAGAGCAAAATATAAAATTTGAGCACTCTGTGTTCTAGTCTGACTTAGTAAATGTGACTCACAGCGCCGGTTGGCTTGGTGGTCCTGGCGAGAAGGAATGGGCATGGTGATTGATGATGATGGGGGGTACGGTTTGATAATGAAGCTATCGCTGCTGTTGTTGTGATTCAAAGTCAACTGCAAGCAACTCCAAGGGAGCAAGGGCAAGACTCACATTGCCATAGGCGACCCTGAGCCAGTACTGTAAATTCCACGTTACTATGCCAGTAGTGGGGGGGAGGGGATCTTAGGAATTAATATGTATCTTCTTGGTTCTTTCGGTAAAGTCACATAGAAGGGAAATAATAAAATAATAAAAATAAAACATTATGAAATAATTCTCACGACGTTTCGGCCACAACGCAAGCAGCCGTCCTCAGGTGAAGAACAGGTCTGTCGGAAAGACAGTTCTTCACCTGAGGACGGCTGCTTGCGTTGTGGCCGAAACGTCGTGATAATTATTTTATTATGTTTTATTATTTCCTTTCTACGTGACTTTACCGAAAGAACCAAGAAGATGAATCCCTGCAATCAAGAAAGCTTTAAATCTAAATTTAATTAATATGTAATTATTAATTTTCAGTGACTTTGTTGAAGCAGTGGCAGAGTGGTTTGCGCACTGAACCGACACTGCTGTGCCTCCTCATCTCAAGCCAGCACTGGCCAGCGTGAAGAAGTATGGCAAAACAGCCCCCATAACCCACACGACATAGCGAGACCTCTGCCCAGTAGCGGATTGACGAAGGGCAAAGAATAAATTCGCTTAAATTTAAGGTGACGATGGCGGTTGTGGTAAATTAGCTGCGTTGATGGTTGATGCTGATGATGACGATGATGCTGCTTATAGTTACGGCCATGTGATGATAAGTAAAACAGCAATAACATTCTCGCTTAAATACCCCCAGCATTTCGTTATTACTTTATAATGATCTGACGTAAGAGTAAAAGTAGAAAACAAACAACAGGTCACAGTAATAAAAAGATACAGAGTCCATTAGGTATATTAACAAGACCTCCTCCCCCACTGTGTCGCCTGGGCAGACTGCTTCACCAAGTGCCATTCGTGTGCACCTATGTCAATGTAAAAGCCTTAATGGAAAATTCAATAAGTCGGATAAATTATTCCATTGAAATATATAACTATTTATTTGAATAAGTTGAGTAACTTTATGTTGCACACTCGAAATGAAGGACGTGGGCAGGTGCTCCAAATCGAGGGCAAACACATTTATTGTGGTAATCTGCAAGATGCAACAACACGTGGTGTCACACGCAGCAATCCTCAACCGAGTCGCCATTAACCACGTGACCGGTGTACAAGTCTGGTTAATCAATAACCCTGCCAGCCACCCACAAGCCCAACTCGCATGCTGGTGTACACACGTGCATTGATGTACTGCACAGCACATAAGGACTTTCACAAAACCACACTTAACTCCCTTGCTGCACGGGGAAATAATTAAAAGAGTGGCCCATTCCTAATGTGCCACATTTACCATTTTGAATAGATTTTTATTGAACGTTTCATAGCATTTCTGGCGCTGTGCTTTTGTATGCGTTGCTTTTACAGCAGTGTCCAGATTATAACTGTCTGCCATTGGCCGGTATCCAACGCATGGAGCTGATTTGTCACTTGAAGACGTATCGATCGTGTGTCTCAATGCATTTGAGTGACACGATGTAAAGGGGGTGGCAGGTTTTATCCGGGTTCGTGAGCTGGCCACACTTTTTACTGTCCGCATAGAACTACGCATCCCATTGATTTTTCGAACTTAATTGGCACTTATTCAAATAACAGTACAATTGGAAACAAAGTCCACGTCTGTGTCTACGTGTAGCCTTTGCCAATGTTTAAAACTAAGCCCGAGCCAGTTTATACCTATCTCCAATCCAGCAGGTGTGTTTCACCGCTCATGTATCTTATGCACGTACGCAAAAAACAAACATGAAGATCCCCCATGTAACCTACATATTCTGTCGGCGAAGAGCGCTGTTAGAGAACACCTGTTCAGAATCCAGCACAGCGCGCAGTCACACGCACAAAAAAAGACAAATGTCCCCCATATAGCCTGTAACAGGCTGTTGGGCCAAGTGCTGTTAGCGAGCACCCATGAAGGCCGGCGCAGCGCACGAGAGAGTGGGTAGGCCAACACCACGCCCGACCGCCTTTTTTCTTCCCAATGGTGATGTTTACACACCTGACCAGGTATTCCTTTTAGGCTGAGTCGACTTAGGGGAGGCAAATGACCAGTTCAGATAATCGTCACTGGTGTTTGCCGTGAGCGGAAATCGAACTCGGGTTTGCCAGGTTCACGGCGCGCCAACCGCTACAACTGCTGCTCCCCACAGTCACACACGAACGTGTTCTACCACCTGCTATAACCAGCTTCGCTCATTATAACAATTTCCTGCACCGCCAAGACCCCAGGAGGGTTGAGACTGTTGGAGTGAACAAGCCCTGGAGAGGACCTGTCCTGTCCCGCAACCCAATGCCCCTTGCATCCACCGGTGCCTCCACCGCCACCTCCGACCACCACCCTGAATCCCGGGAACCACTCCCCCCATCACCCGGTCCACACAGCCTGCGCCTGGCTTCTCGTCAGAAACCAGACTTTTGACAGCTGCACAAATAACGAGCATCGTTCAATTTGGGGCGGAGCGCTGGCGTGGAGGTCAGCATGTTGCGCGTTTACGGAATTAGTTCTCGGCCACGGCTAACATCAGACGAGAACGATGCCGGAACCGGTCCTACCGCACTTCCCTTACCTCTTTACCAACGTCAAACAACATGGCCCATACAGAAGTTGGGGGGGCGGGGGGCATGGTCGCGAGTTAACTTCCTCGTCTGGTATACAGGAGGTCGTGGGTTCGATCCCAACCCTGCCGGCTGTATATTTGAAGTTTGCATGTTCTCCCCGTGGTTGCGTGGATTTTTCTCCGGGTCTTCCAGTTTTCCCCTCCACATTTAGAAACAACGTGCGTTTAGACGATTTGGCTGCAGCTATAAATAGTCAGGTCGCTTCTGAAAGAGAGCTATATAGTTCCGTGGTCCTTATCTGGTAAAATAAAAAATAGTTAACAGTAAAGTGGACAGGCCTTCATCAAGCAATAGATTGACAAACGAATTTCATAGCATTAACACTTTTTTTAAAATTCTAATTTCAAGAGTGTGGTTTGGTCAACACCAGCACAGGGGAGACAAAGGCAGATTGCCATTCACGATACAGATGACAGGAACCATTCACATTGCCTGTGGGCCATAATAGGTGCTCACAAACAGCATTTGCCCCAACCATTATTGAGGACCACCACCATTGATTCAACTCCACCAAGGGATATAATTTTCGCATTACTACGCCACGAACATGTCTACTATCATGTTGCACAGTATCCATTATCTGGTTGAGAGATGGCAGAGCGTACCAC